CTCTCTCTCTCTCTCTCTCTCTCTCTCTCTCTCTCTCTCTCTCTCTCTCTCTCTCTCTCTCTCTCTCTCTCTCCGCATTCCTCCGATGTGGGCAATCCGTCACCTCACACGTAACAAGACCACAGGGTCGTCACGCCACTTAGTCCAAGTCTGCAAGTGAGGTTCGCCCGTGTGCAACAATCCTTCGCGGCCACACATCAACCCCTCATTCTTAGCACCAGCCCGCCGGATTGCCCAACTCCTTACTCACCGTCTTGCTTCTGCCCGTTAGCCGATCTCCTCGACCACACTAACTCTTTAGTTTGATTAGAAAGCGAATTAGTCGCGCTTGCATAATTTATAGCACTTAGTACCCGCGCGAGATAACGGGCATCACGCTGAAGTGGAAGAGAAGAGGAAGTGTCTACAACTGCACGGTCAGGCCGCGGCGTGGGGGTCGTAGCCACTTTCCACGCATCGATACAGTCATGCAATGTCTTGGCCAATGAGACGAAGAGAAAAGAGGGCGCACAAGAAAGTCGCGAAATGAAGCATTACAGTTACACCCGCGCCCACCAAGAAGAGATGTCAGTTACACATAGAATTAAGGCGCGGAGGAGACAGGGCACAGGACAGAGTGCAGCACAGTGCGTGCGAGTAGAGAGCATGGTGCAGTTACTGCAAAAAAATACGATGCTCCCAAATCCCAAGCCTAATTACAGTCCTAATTGCAAGAAGAATTTCGAGAACCTATGTAAGTTCAAAATTCAAAAAGAAAATCAAAAGATTCCCTGTGCGGCGATTGCGCCAAAAATACCCCGCCCAGTTCCGTCAACCAAAAAAAAAAAAAGAAAGAGGTTGTGTCAGCCGTTATTTCCTCGCTCGCTCTGGCGCGTCCTACCAACCGCCGTGGACCCAATTTTTCCGAAAGAACGGGGGCACACTGGTACAATTGAGCCAGGCCCCTTCTTCCCCAACCCCCAGAATACCATTGTGCAGAAGATGGTGCTCATCACAAAAGAGAATGTCATAGTGTTGGATGAGGACATGACGCAAAGGGAGTGGCTCTGCAGGAGTACCGGACCGTGGAGGACATGACTGAAGGTTGCCCCAACTTTTGACAGAGGCTTGGCGAAAAGATTCCAGGCCCCAAGGGCACCTTAGGAAAGTCTGTTGACAGAAGGGGATGATGCAAATCAAAGAAACTTTTAGGGTGACGACACAAATTTTCCCAAAGAAAGACAAAACAAGGCAGGGAGAGTGCCCGATAACGAGGGAGCCATCACCCGATGTGCAGGATAACTTGCCATTCGGCAGGATTTTGAATGCCCCTCCGGGCATCTAGATGCATTCAAAAGTTTGGCGGATGGCAGGTGGTGCAACTAAGTCACCTTAATAAGGCCCCTTACCAATGGGCTTTATCTCGTGGGTACAACTACAAATTGTTGAAATGCAGATGTGAGTTCGAATCATGAGGGAAGTAGATGAGCAAAATTCCTGAATTCCTGGGGTCAGTCATCCTTTTTATTCCCCCTCTCAATTTCACGTTTCAATTATCCACCTACCACTACTGCTAAGCCTATACAGGGGACCCCTGCAAGCATAGCTACCTCTCACAAGTAAACCGCCACTCTCCCCGACAGCAGAAAACCCTCGCCCATGTGAGTTAGGGCCGATTTGGCGCATTTCCAATTGTTGGCATCCCCATTTTCGCCATTCACCCGGTTTTCCACTCTATGCTACCGGTGCCCCTCATGAAACGGCGCTACCCCTAGGAGGAGGTTTTTAGCATGGGGGGAGTTGGCGGTCAGGGAGTAGGGAGGGGCCGGCCAACTGAAGGACCGAGCATTTTGGAAGTGGTTGCGCCTCCCGTCTACTTTCCCCACACCTATCGAGTAGCAGCAGTGGCTATGGCCACCCTCTCCCCCAAACCACACACGTCACTCACGCTCACACTCAGACCCGTGTTTGTCATAGACCCTACTCGAATCAATCAGCCTGTTGGCACTAAGTGCTCCGCAGGTGATCATGGGGCTCGAACCCACAACCTCCTGAATGCCACTTGCGTGCCTAACCAACTCCTCTAGGCCGCTGGATGGCCGGTCATCGCAAGGCTGCCGGGCAACTAGGCCGGGACTGCCACAGCTCGTGGCCGAAGGAGCTATTTTAAAAGTCGCACGCCGGTTCTGATTCATCATTACGTCGTCGCCTCGACGGATCCACCTCATACTTTTCACTCTCGGGCGGAAGGCCTCTATGTGTAGTTGTTCGACAGCGCCCGGAGGTGTGAGTGGGTTGTCCGGTGACTCTATCTCTCGCTGTTCTCTCTCTCCATCTCTTCTCACACGCTCCATTTCTGTACGCGGAACGAGATACTTCGCGTGTAAGCCCGCCAGAATGGCGAGTTTCCTTTTCACCTCGGAGTCCGTGAATGAGGGGCACCCGGACAAGCTGTGCGACCAGGTGTCCGACGCGATCTTGGACGCCTGCCTTGCGGAAGATCCCGACAGCAAGGTGGCATGTGAGACGTGCACGAAGACGGGAATGGTTATGGTGTTCGGCGAGATTACCACGAGGGCGAGCGTAGATTATGAGGAGATCGTGAGGGAGACATGCCGCGGCATTGGCTTCATCTCTGAGGAGGTGGGGTTGAACTGCGACACGTGCAAGGTTCTGGTGCACATCGAGGAGCAGAGTCCTGATATCGGCCAGGGAGTGCACGGTATGGGCACGAAGAGGCCCGAGGAGATCGGCGCAGGCGACCAGGGAATCATGTTCGGTTATGCAACCGACGAGACACCGGAGTTTATGCCCCTGACTCACGTGCTGGCCACCAAGATCGGCGCCAGGCTGACGGAGGTCCGAAAGAACGGGGCCGTCAAGTGGCTGAGACCCGACGGCAAGACGCAGGTGACCGTCGAGTACAAGAAGGACGAGAGCGGCGCCCTCGATCCCGTCCGCGTTCACACCATTCTGATCTCGACACAGCACGACGAGTCGGTTTCCAACGACCAGATCGCGGCCGATCTTCGCGAGCACGTCATCAAGCCCGTCGTTCCCGCCAAGTACCTCGATGTGGACACCATTTTCCATCTCAACCCGTCGGGGCGATTCGTGATCGGCGGACCGCACGGGGACGCTGGGCTGACGGGCAGGAAGATCATCATCGACACCTACGGGGGGTGGGGTGCCCACGGCGGAGGAGCTTTCAGCGGCAAGGACCCGACGAAGGTGGACAGGAGCGGGGCGTACATCGTGCGTCAGGCGGCGAAGAGCGTCGTGGCTGCGGGGCTCGCTCGCCGCTGCCTGGTGCAGGTTTCTTACGCCATCGGTGTCGCCGAGCCCCTGTCCGTCTTCGTGGACACGTACGGGAGCGGGAGGGTGTCGGAGCAGGAGATCCTGGAGATAATCAAGGAGAACTTCGACTTCAGACCGGGAATGATCATTCAAGCTCTCGATTTGAATCGCGGAGGCAACAAGAGGTTCCAGAAGACGGCGGCGTACGGACACTTCGGCCGCGACGACCCCGATTTCACCTGGGAGACCGTCAAGGTGCTCATGAGGGACGGGAAGCACGTCAAGATTACCGCTGCTGCGTAATTTTGATTGATTGACTGGGGTCAAAATGCTAACGAGGAACGGGAAGCCCGTCAAGATGGTCCTTGATTTGTTGATTCCTCTGTTGTTGATTGAGTCGATGCGTTGTTGTTTATACGATTGATATGATTGATAAGATCATATGATTGATTGCTTTATTAAGTTGTTGTTTTACTGATTTATTTATTTCGCAATTTATTTATTGATTGATTGATTGATTGATTAGTTAGTTTACATCACGTCTAATGCAAATTTGTTTTGTACCTTCGTGAAAACATTGTCGGTTGCCTGTCATCCAACCGACGAGATGGTCGAATTAAAAAAATAAATAAACATGTCGGTTCAGTTCGAGGATAGCTGCTTTCACGACGTCCTTCGCGAGTTAGATTGTCCTGATAGGCGTGCCGAATGCTTCTTGCCTAAATTCTTCCGGCGGTTGCTGGTCGTCGTGCGTTAATTTCGTTTATCATCGATTTATTTCTTGATGACATGCTCTTCTTTCTCGGTTGATATTCATTGCGTCTCCAGTTTGTGTCGCTGTATCTTTTGTTTTCCCCCCCCCTCAAATCTCTCTGCAGTTCATGCTAAGCATGTCTTGCCGCAATTCCTCGTTGTCATGATTGCCCTTCCAAACATTCTGTATCTTTCTCTCTCTCTCTCTCTCTCTCTCTCTCTCTCTCTCTCTCTCTCTCTCTCTCTCTCGCTCGCTCGCTCGCTCGTTCGCTTTTC